CAAACTCGAGCACTTAAAGGACCACTACAAACTAAGGTGCTATATCATTGTAATCACCACTAGTAAGACGTCACCTCATCCAAAGAAAATGAACCAAAAAGATACAACAAAAATAACTCATAAATCTTCATAATATTTTTAAGTAGCCCACTTATGTCCTAGATGGGCCGTATGATGTACATATATAAAAAAATGACATAATTATTGCAAAAGACTTTTAATACTAAATTTTTTTTCATCTTAGCTTGTTCCAGTTCTGCATCAATTCCTGAATGTTATTCTTGTCAAGGAAAATATGAAGTACATCATGACATTATCTGCACTTTTTTGCAATAAATATTCATGCTGTCTAGTTTTTCACTTGTTTTACATTCAATATGGTCTCTAACATCCTGAATGGATTGCTCATCAAAACTTGTTACTGAATTTTTCTTCCTATGTAGTTATTCGAATGAAAAATCAGAAGCACGCATATCTGAGGAAACTTCAGAGGGGAAGTCCATTTCTAGTTCAAGCAGCCATCTCAAGGTTTTTCACATTTTCAATGTTGTAGTTCTGGAATTCATTGAATATTCTAGGATATTTCGTAAAAGCCCCAGTGATACTAATAGCCCTGGAACTGATTTTCTTGTGCAATAAGTGATACCAAACAATGGACTGACTACTAACTAGAATTTTGTCTTCAGTTCTTGTTCTATGTTTCATAATTTCCTACTCTTTTCTAACTGGTTGATTTTTTTCTCCTGCCAGGAATAAGTGATTGAGATTTTGGCTGAAATGCACCTGATAGTTATCAGGAAAGTGAACAAAATATTGACTTATTGCAACCTAAAATCAAGAATTCGGAGACGATAATGTACATGAACAGCTGCATCAAAATCAAGCTACACAAGATTTCCACATTGCGATATTTGTTTTAGATGACAATGCAGAGAAGACACGTGCATCAACGGTTTGCAGCAAAAGCCTGGATTGTGAATGAGATCTCTGAGTATCGTGTCTGCGGTATTCCTTCAAAATATCAGTAAAAGTTTACTTTCATCCTATCGGGAAAGGTTATGACAAATGTATATAGTTATTCAAAATCAACATTCTTTCTTATCTTTTCCACCTTCTGTTTATTTTTGGCCAATGTCTTATACACATTTACATGTGAATGAGCTATTATTATCTTGAGCTGTTTCTGCAAATATGCAACTTGCAAGAGGATAAATCTTGTATTTTTGGTTATGGTATTGATTGTTTGGATGTATGCTACTAGTAGAAGTTAGAGAATTTAGAAGGCACAAAAACTGAATGACAAAGCCAAGCTTGGCAACTTAAGCTTGTAACTCAAGTAGGGGCATTAAAAGGGTTGGATAAATTGTGTTTGTTATGCCAAGAGAACAAAAGATTTATCTACCTGCAGAGTAACCTTTCAACCTAGTGCCTTCACAAATACATCCGGTAAAATATACTCATATTATATGTGCATGCGCCTGAAATATACATATATATCATGAACGCTGATCTGAAATGAAATTATGAAAATATGCATATATATCATGGTCTAGCAGGGTCTCCTCTTCATGGCGTGCCATCTCTAGCTGCTTCAAGAAGGTGAAGAAAGGTAAGTGGAGTATTTGGTGATAGTAGGAGGGTCAGACTTTGAATTGATCTTTAGGCGGACAACCTTTTGTATTGTTAATAATAATTTTGTTACTGAGTTGAGTCGATTATTGCCATTGATGAGAATTATGCTCGGAAATTTAGGTTCCTTCTCCCCTCGCTTATCTTATTGCAAATTACTCCCTTAGGGTGAATATGCCCCATCATGTGATGAATTGCATCAATTGGTTTTATTCTGCCAATGGGAAGTTTTTACTTTGATTCTGCCTACACCTCTCACTTATAGTGAATTTTCTAGTTGCAATCTGATATGAAAGCTCATTTGGAGTTTGAGATCCTGTTTCGGGTTGGAAACTTCATGTGGGTTGGTCCATGGCAACTACCTGATGACTAGCATGGAACAAAGGAGAAAACACCTCATCGGCTCAAGCAGTTTCCCTGAATGCAAGAGAAACCATTTTCCATGCTCTTCGCAGTTGTAGAGTGCGGGCTAGTTGGCAACAATTGCTTGTTAATCCGAGTTGGCATTGTTTCTTCAAGTCTTCAATGGATGTTAGGTGGAGATGAGTATTAGATATTGGTTTGGTATTCTCAGCATGCTTGATTGGAGCATTGTTTTCGATATTTCAGTTTCGGTGATATGGTAAAATCCAGTAATTGCTTGTTAATCTGGATCTTGCTGGACATTGATGGCCCTGCCCTCTTCATGGTAATCTCAATCTTGCTACACCCAGTGATGTCATTTGTAATTACTTTGGTGGTTGGATTGTTGGTTTCATGATTAATGTTAGTGTTTTTTTCTCTTCCATTGTTGATTTGTGTGTATTGAGGATATTTCTCCTTAATTTGGCCGGAACTCAATGGGAGTTTTCGGTGGAGACAAAATTACTATTTAACTAAATAGTTGATATGTTATTTTTTTTATAAAAAAAATTATTGATTCAAAACAGATTATGAATTCGTGTATGATTTTGTTTAAAAGTTATTTATATTGTATTATAATTTGTGTATGTGTATTAGTTATATAATAAATATATGAATATGTTCAATGTAAATAATAACATAAAATGATCTTTCCACCTGTTGAGTTCTATTCTTGATTATCATATTAATACTTTTTTTATATACATTATTTATATTGTATTGAATATTTTAATATTTTATGTCTTTTTATTTTTACTTTTTTTTATAATTAAATTTTGTTTGTATTGAAAATATTTAAAATATAAATCTCCACAATTAAACGAAGATTTCCTGTTTTTCTTTTTCATTTTCTATCTTTTCATTAAAAAAAATGTATATTGATGCTATTTCAATAATTAAATATATTTAAAATAAATTTAATTTTAGGAAAAACATCCTATAATTTAATATAATATTAAAATAGCCTCTCCAAAATAGGAAAATAATTGGGCCCGAGTTCTCAGTCGTCTGGTATAATACGGAGCCGGCTTGCAGTTCAGCCAGGCGATCTCCCTCTGTTTTGAAGCGAGACTAGCGAGGGAGAAGAGAGAGAATCACAACCCAGATCCCCAAATTCTCTCCTCTACCTGCACAACACCTCTGCCGGGTGTTCACAATTGCAATCAATGGCGGTCCTTCAAGCACTTGATGAACCCAACCATAAGAAGCAGAACAAGAACAGGAACCATGGCTCCACAAATTTCTTCGTCTTCGTCGATTACATTTTCCTTCTCGTTTTCCTTGGTTTCCTTTGTTTCGTAGTATCCAAAATTGTCGGTCATTGATTCCGTTTTTTCTCTCTACTCTAATCAATCCACCAAGCATTTAGGTACTTCTTCTTTTCTCTCTTCTCTTTTGGGTTTTTTAGAAATTTATTTAAAGGGCTTATCAGCAACTGCTAAATATTGATGCTTATAATCATGTTGTGAAAATTGAAAATCCTGACGGCAACTTATGCATGAATCGCTTTATTTTGTTTAGGAAATTTAATGGGTATTTTTAGTCTGTTGGTATTTATGAGCTTCATCATATATATATATATATATATATATATTGTCATTATGTATAAGACTATGATAATACCATGATAATGGTTCAAGCAACCAGGCTGATTGTGTAAGCAACAATTGAGACAGTAAGATAGCTTTAAGGGTAGTAAATATTGTCCAGTGCAGTTAATTCTTTATTCATGGTTGTTAGTATCTGAAACAAAAATCATTGTTGATGGGTGTTTTTGGTGTTTTCTTATGTATTGTTGTTTGGTTCTTTAGTTCTCTAACTATCTTCGGTAAGTTCTATGAGGACTCATGATTCTTATCGTAAATTGGGAATCTGCATCACCTTTAATGATCTGATATTATTAGCTCTTATGAGGTGATTCACATTATATGTAATATGGTGCTTTCTGCCTATAGATTCAGATTTGCAGCTCTCAGCTGCTGGGTTCCAGGTCTGTTATGTTAGACACTTTAGTTGAAACATTTTTTTCCATGCAGGATGTCGAGGTTTCCCTGTTGCCGACTTCCAGGATTTGGGACATTTCGGGTGTTGATTTTGAGGAGTTATTGACCATAGTAACAAACAACTTTTTGTATGTGATATATCTTTTTCTTTTCTGTTGTCCTTACCAGCTTCTCATGTAAGTTATTACACACATGCTTAAGCATGAATTCATTAATGAAATTACTTGAGTTGCTTCTTTGTTGATCAATTCTCCCTTTATCCGTTCTTTCTGCTTGGTTGGAAATTTGTTTCATTTATCGGCCTAAATGGAAGTTTACTGAATTTCAATCGGTACCTCTGACACCAAATTTTAAATCTTTCTTCTTCAAAAATTATTTTACTCAAATTATCATAAGGGTAATGGAGTCTGGACTCTGATTGGTAATATACTAATAATTTTGTAGAGTTAACTTTTCAGTTCAATTTTAATGTTTCTTTTGTAATCAGAATGGTTTCCTTCAATACAGCCTTTGCTGAACGTTTTTTTTCATTAACATCGCAGTTAGCTTTGCTGTAACAAAATAAACGTTCAAATTAATCTTATGGACCCTAAAGCTATGAAGATAAATTGATGCAAAGATAGACCACATGTATATATGTATTGAAGTGGTTCCCTAGCCTTAATGCTTTTACTGTTAATTGTCTGATGTAATAAAACATTTGCTTTGATCAAATTCGTCATTAGAACTGATGAAACAATGATTTTGGTATTAGTCATAAATACACTTTTGTCTGACTATGGCACTGTTCTCGTTAGCATCTCCAAAGGTGCACCTTGCCCAACAAGCAGAAACTTGATCTTCTTTGAAGCTTTGAAGTTAATTCATGTGCTTTTCATTTAGCTTGTCTATTGAGCTAATGGGACAGCAGAATATGTTCAAGTATAAAATCAGTCCATTCTTATTTATGTGGAATAACATACCTAGTTGCTTTTCTCTTTATTCTTTTACCCACTTCTTGGATTGTAGCTGGCATCCACTTCTGGTGTATCAATTCTTGGCAATGAGGTGTTTTTTTTCTTCTGTTGCTATAATCCATGGTTAACTTGCAAGAACACACTTCAAGATGCAGGAAGTTTCGGAGTTTGGTATAGTACTAAGTTCTTTTTCGTGTTTGAACTCCTGTGAGTTATTCTATCAGATATTCGTAATCTTAGTGGAAGGCCTAGCTTGGATTTGATTAGCATTTGTATTTTTGGCAGTTGGCGTGGAAAAGAAATATATAATTTTTTTATACAACTGGATAGTGCAATAGTGGCTTTAGAATTTAGACTGAAATCAAATGATGCACATAAAAAGATTCATAGATTTCAGACTTGAGGATGCATCTTCATATAAGGATGCACGATGGACTCATTAGGATTTCAGATTTGAGCATGCATCTACTGCTTTATATTATATGGGCTTGTGGGCTACTACAAACTGACACTTTGAGAAAGTAAAATAGATTCAGGCAGCATCATAATGACTAAGAAATACATCTAGGAAATGCTTTCTAGAATTAAGGAGCAAAATAGACTCAGGCCTTGTCCTCAAAGAGGCTATGGCATCTGCATCTGTCGTGCTTATTTCCAGAATTTGATGATTGAACATACTCATGGATGAGGCTCTGCTGGAACCTGACCACCACTGCCAGGACTTGGGACCTCGAACCCAGGATTTGGGATAAATGTATCATCACCACCTGGAACATAGCTACTGCCTGACCCGGATCCTATTCCTCCACCACTGCCTGGCCTGGTTCCTATTCCTCCACCACTTCCTGACCCATTTCCTGTGCTGCCTCCACTGCCTGGCGCAGCTCCTATGCCTCCATCACTGCCTGACCCAGCTCCTACGCTGCCTCCACTACCTGGCACAGCTCCTATGCCTCCATCACTGCCTGACCCAGCTCCTATGCTGCGTCCACTGCCTGACCCTGCTCCTAAACTGCCTGGTCCAGTTCCTACACTCCCACCATATGGACTGAAGGGATGTAACTTACATCCTGGTGGCAGCACCACAGGGCCAATGCCTGGGATGACCCCGTTGTGGTCAGGTTTAATAAACCACTCAGGCTGTTTGACATCCACATTCTTGGGCATTTTACCAATGTCACGGATTCCAATCACTTGCTCAGCTACAGCAAGCAAAATGGTAAAGAGAAAAACCATAGCAAGGACAGAAGAAAGAAGTTTGTAGGCCATTGCTTGAGACTTTTTAGGAAGAAGAGATGAGCTTGTTTGTTGGTAGAGGAATTAAGATGGCTTCTCATATATATATCGGTGAACTTGTGGTTACTTGAGTGAACTTTGGCGGCGAGTTAAGATGCAGTTTTTCTTACACAGGAAGATATAAATGAAGCAGAAACAAATGCAGACATGCAAGGAAAGAAAAGTAGATAGAGTGGCATGTTTTGGTTAAGAAATCTTTCCCAGTAAGTGGGTAGGTAACTTTTTTTTTACCCATGTATGGTAAAAGAATCTTTTAAGATTACTTGTATATTTATCCTTCCTAAGAAAATTTTACTCTTGAAAGAATCTGTTAAAACTTCATTTCTGAACCAAAAGGGGTCCCTTATGTACAGGAGTAGCAAATCATATTAGTAAATAGTTTCTTGAAATGTAAAATTTGTTCAATGCTTTACTGGACTGTTACTTCACAACTTTCCATTTTAATCTTCTTGTTTTCATCAACTGCTTTGTCGGCTAATTAAAACACACTGCAACACTCTTACCATATGTACCTTCATGTATATAAATACATATGCATGTCCTTTTTTTCTGATCCTTAAAGCTCTCTGTTGATGCTCTATTTTGTTGGTATATATGGATACGAGAATGCATGGAAGTAAATAAATATACTCGAATTCGAATTTTCAGTCTCTACCGAGAAGGCGAAATACCAACTATTCGAATAATTTGTATATTGTTTTCTTCTCATTTTACAACTGATTGAAGTAAAGGTTAAGGAAAACGAGGGGCCGAAGGGTTAAAATTTTCTAGAAATTTAACTATTTGTGAGAATTGACTCTTCATAATTTCATATTATGTTAATTAAATAAATTATTTTACTTATAATGTATAAAAAATACTCTATTTAATGTAAATTAAAATTTAAATAAATTTTTTACTCGTAAAAATCATAAGAATTCTATAAGGTTGATGATGTATATATATATATATATATGTGTGGAATTGGTTTATATGGTATAATTAATAAATATAAACATTCTCAAATTTAATTAATACTAATCTGCTTTTAATTATATTTTATTTAATTTATAATTACAAAATTAATTAAGTCATTATAAAAATTAAAATTAAATAAACGCTCTTTTTATTTTTTTTTTAAAAGATTACTTTTATTAAAAGCCCATCAAGCCCACAACAGAACAAACCCTATCTTGCTTTGCTTTTACCCAAACCTCAAGCCGTAATCGCAGCTCCCTTTGCGTTTGGGCTAGTGCTTCTTGCTGAGATTTCGCCCAACGCCTCTCTGATTCAAACCCACTGATAGTTATATACATCTCCGATCATTTTCGTCTCGCGAGTATAGAAGCCGACCGAGGCCGTGCTCTGAAAAAGGCAGAGGAAGAGAAGGAAAGAGAGTTGGAAATGGCGAAACCGTTGGGACACACAGGAGAGTTCTTCAAGAGGAGGGATGAGTGGAGAAAGCATCCCATGGTCGCCAACCAGCTGCGACACGCCGCTCCAGGTCTCGGCATCGCACTCGTCGCCTTTGGCGTCTACCTTGTTGGCGAGCAAGTCTACAACAAGCTCTATGCTCCTTCTTCTCACCACGCCTCTCACTCTCAATCGCACTGATAAATTTTCACTCAGGTGGAGGTGATTTCCTCTAATTCCGATCCCTTTTTCATATTATATCGGGTCTGTTTAAATCATTTGGTTCTCTATGTCCTAGGGATTTTCTTGAGTTAGTGAATGGAGATGTATCGTTCTTTATGATTTGGTGGTAGCTCGATTTCATCATAAATGGTTATGCTTTTATCATCTGGTGTTTGACAGTCTCGCATTTGGTTTTGGATATGGAGGTATATTGCCCTTGTGTTGGTTATTACACCGTCCTTTTGTTTTATTTTGTTGTTTGTATGTGATTTCTTGTTCCCTTAATCTTATTATTGAATTTAGCGTCATCTTAACCTTCCGGTAATTTGGGAAGTTAACTGGTATCTTTGCCATATTTTGTAAAATGCATTTGATTTGATGCTACTGAAATTTGATTGTTTCACAATCCTTTCTCTCTTTTACGGAGTTTGGGGTACTGGAAATTGAGTAGAAAATGTGCTTAAGGAAAGGAAAATACAGTATGTTAATTTTTCCTGCCATTTTTCTGAAATCTGGTTGTCTTATTCTCAATATTATTTTTTAGAAGAAAAAATAGATTAGTATTAAGAGGTACCAAACGGATGCTACCCCTGTACAAGAATATATATAGCAGAATGTTGCAGCCGGGGCTCAGCCAAAATATCAATCAACCCTGCTAGATCTTCCTCATGGAGGATGAATGACCTTTAAACAAAGTACATAGGTGTAGAACCGTCAGGTCCCTAATAGTTGCGAAGTTAGATACAATGTAATAAAAGATTCTCCCATTCCTTTGTTGCCATATGGTCCAAAAAATGGAATGGAAGATACGAGCGACAAGCATTTTCTTGCATATATGCCAGATCAGACCTTTTCTTGCTAAAAGCTCCTTCATAATCAAAGTTGCCTGTCACCAACTTGATAATCAAAGAGTAAAAGTTGAATACCAAAGCTTTCTTTCCAATTGTACGCAACAAAGGAAGATGCTTTAGGAATTCATTGTCGTTTTGGAAAAGTGGGGCAATTGTTGATGAGAATTAAACCCCTCTTCCTTAGATTGTCCATAGTAAGGATGCCCTTCCAAGTTGCTTTCACAGAGACATTTTTGAGTTTAGTAAGAAGATTTACATATTCATCTCTCAGACAAGATTCCTAGTAAGAGCAACGAGTGATGATGTAGTCCCTCCCACTTGGATGTAATAGCCCCTTGCTGTTGCTTCTTTATACAAAAGTAGGTCTAATATTATTGGAAGATTTCCCATTCTACACATCCTTTCAAAATGTTAGGCTTTGACTGTTGTCAATTTTAAAATGAATAAGATCACATATACTGGCGTGTTCTTTCATGACACATTGCCAGAGGCTAGATCCCTGGGCTCCAATGACTGTTCACCATAGAGATCTTACCAGTAACAAACTCCACAGCCATTTAAACCGAAGTGCCTTGTTGAACGTGACAAAAGTTCAGATGCCTAAATCACACTCATAGACAGGATGTCTAATGGCATCCCACTTGACCAAATGAATGTGCTCTGACCGCATCCTTAGGGTAGTCTTATTTTTCTTGTATTTGGTAACTTAGTTTTTGTTGCAAATGGATGTGAGTTTTTGTTGCAAATGGATGTGCTTTGGTCTTTTCTTTTGGTGATCTCATGATTCTGTTGGAGATTGAGTTGATTACGCATCAAGTTTCTAAATTTGGCATTTGTATGGAAGTTTCAGTTTCTCTTCGTCTCATGTTTGTTCATGTGAAATGGATGCTGGTAATTCTAGTGATCAGTAATCTGGTATTGGTTCTGGTGGTATGTTGCTGCTATTGGGGGGATATGATAATTCGGTTGTTTTGGGAAGAAAATGAGTAGATCCTTCTATTAAAAAGCAGAACTACCTTGCAGACCTACCTTTTTATGCTGGTTATTCTACTATTTACCAATGATATGACTGTTTTTTGCCTGGGTCAGTATGTTCTTTTATGTTTTGGCTTCCTGATTTTTACTTATTGTGCATTGCTATTGGTTCTATTTTTCTTCTACCGTGCAGTACATGTTACTATTATGAAGATCTTTCTACTGTGGAGTACATGTTAGGATTAGAAAGATGCATATGCTTAAATATTGCAATTTCCATGTGGCCTTTGTTAATGAAGATTATTAGAATTTTTGTTGTGATGTAGAATGTATTTGACTCGGTTTTCCAAATATATTCAGAAATGTATTCTTTTTTAAATCTAAATTTTATTGTAGTAGTTAGAGGTCTATTAGTATAGTTTTAGTAGCATTAGAATTTTATTTATGCTTTAATTCTTCTAACTTGCTATAAGGATTTCTAGTCTTGGTTAACATAGGATTGAGATAGTTTATGAGTACTATATGATGTCTTCCATAATAATGGAGATATTTAGAGAATTTTCTTTAGAGACTTGTTCTGAATGATTGTATGATGCAACTAAATTCTTCACCTTAGGTGTAATCGTTACTTTTGTTATTTTTATGTCAGTCTTAGTGTCTCGAGATGTGTAGGGTAAGAGGCCCTATCCGACAATATGTTGGTAAATATTTTTATGTACCAAGTAAGCTTTATCTGGTTGAGTAGGTTAAGAAAATTATTCAAATCTCCTTTTTTGATTTAAAAATATATAAAAGATAATGGAAGATACAAAAACAGAGGATTAGATATCCTCCAAAAAGAAGAGAACAAAAGAAGGAAAACAACAAAGGGGGTGAGGGGGGGTTAACAAACTAAAGCTTAAAAGAAAATGGCCAATCTCTATGCAATACAGACAACTCTCTTTAAAATATCTTTGTGCCTTAACCCGGAGATGCTGAAAAAACAATGTATTCCAAAGGAGAAAAAATAGGGAGTCCAACCGGATAAGCTACGAACCAGATAAACCCCTTAAGGTGTGGAGAAGAAAACCAAGTAAAACTGAAGTACCAAATAACCTGTTCCTGAGTCTCTATGACTAGTCACAATGTAGCAAGAGGTCATTGTGAGATCAACAGTTTAAAGCACATACCACAATCCCCGGGGGAGATAGCATTTTTCAACTTGCAGCTTGGAGAGTTATCTAATTTCTCCTTGTGATAGCACGATACCGGTTCTCATGGAACTTCATCTGGTTGGGAGCTGTTGTGGTAGATTTGGACCTCTCGGGTTCGAGAACTGGGAAGAGAGAAAAGAGAAACAGAAGGAACATATGAGGGATTTTCAAATATCTTTTTTTTTTATTTTTAAAAAATCTCCTTGCATTCTAGTAATTGTTACCCTCCCAACTCTCACAACTGTTTTACCACAACCAGTATAATCTCTTTTTTAACGAAAAATAAAATAAACAACCAGCATAATCTCTTATCACTATTCTTTTATCAAGATCTTTTTAATACTACCAACATCACTGCCATTAAGAGATCACTACTCAATTCGCCTTCTGCCATGGTAACAATGGCTGCCTACCACCATCACATCTCCCACTCACATTTGATTTTGCACAATCATTTGCCTTAATGATGTTTTTGCTCTGCAATAGGTTTTCTGCGTTGTTACTATTGATGTCAACACCACTAAAAGGTGTTGGCAATGGATGTAGTGGAGGGCTTGGTGGTGAAAGATTCAGAAAGAATAAAACAATAATGTTATAGTTATTTTGGACGGGCAGAGGAGCCAGAACTGAATGGGTTGCACGGATGGGTGATTGGAGGCATGAAAGGAGCATTTATGTCCATGAAGAGTTTGTTGTTGAGATTAACCATGGAGAAGGAAGTAAGAGGACTTGTGGATAAGCATGGTCAGGTGACATGTTAATTGCAGTGGTGTTCTTCTTTTGATATATTAATGGCAGTGGTGTTGGAAACCATGGAGACTGGATCTAGGGAAAAATAATAAAGTAAGTGGACAAGGGGTGAAAATGTTTATTTTATTAATATTAAAAAGTAATATGCTAATGAATAAAGTAATTATTTATTTTTTCATTTTTGCAGAAAGTAGTATATTCTATTTTGCGTAATTAAGTAGTATATTCTAACAATCAATTGGCCTCTTACCCTACCCATCTCCTCTCTATCTTATCTTCTTTGACAACTCTATTTTGTTTTACCCAAATTGTGAAACATAACATTGAACTCTAAATTCCTCCATCTTCCTAATGAGATCTAGGAATACCTAAACTTTTACCTAATTTCCTTTGTAGACAAATTAATCCTCGTTTTTAGTACATCATGTTGTATAAGCTGACACTTAAAATCGTGTGAATCTTTGATGCTTCCTTTTGATAAACTCATATTATGTGGTTTTGATATGTGAATTTGTTACAAATGTGAATTAGATATTACGAGATGCTTTGGTTTAGGGATTGTTGATCGGACAAGAGACATTATGAGGAACTGTGTATGGATCCTATATGCGTCCTCCTGATTAACTTTCACTGTTGGGTAATATTTGAAAGGATTACAAATGGGAATTTAGATAACTTATAATTCTTTACGGGTTGTTGATTGGATACAACACAGTGTATGCTGCCTTTATGGTCAGATGCACCTTTTTTTATTGTGTCACATAGTGTATAATTGTGTTGGCAAATATTATGTGTACCCAAGATTCCTGTTAACAGTCCATATGATTTTATTAATTTTGATTTCCCAATATGTTTGAGTTCATGGCAGAAGCATGGACTTTCAATTTCAACTTAAAGTATTATAGTAGAAAGCAAGGACTAAAATAGGTGCAAGACTTCTCAGAATACTGCTGTCATTCTCTTGTGAAATAGATGGTTGATTTGCCCGTATCACTTTCTTTTAAATTTGTTGAAAACAAAACTTGAGATTTCATAAAAAGCATTGTTAGGATCCTTACATGCATATTTAATTGGTCAGAAGCACCATAATCTCATTTCATCCTGATTTCCAAAAACATACTTTGATCTTAGTGTGTTATTTGGCCCCTGCAGATGATTGCTTTACGGAAGATTTAAGCTTTAGGCCTTAATATGTTCCATTTCGGGTGGACTGGTTTGGTCTGTTAAATCAATGTGAGACTTGTGGCTGGTAATTTTACCTTCTAGCAAGTTGGAAAAATAAGATACTTGTAAGAGATGATGTATGGATGTTTTATTCACTTTCTTCTCCTGTTGGAATGTTTTAGTTATAATCAATCACATTCTGTCTTCAGTGTATCTTTCCCAATAAGTCAATAACCTTTAGTTCTTATGAAATCTTGTTGCCCTAGTGTGGTTTCTTTTTTCTTTTCTCGCTATTGGTGTATTAAGTCCCAATATTTTCTTAATTGAATCAATTAGTTCTAGAGATTTACAAGGTAAATGAGATAAAACTGATATGATATAAATTGTTGAATCAATTAGGATAAGTTTCCAGTAAATCAATTGATTCCTGGATTTAAGGCATATTGGTATTCCTTTATAGTGGATTATGGGATGCGCTATGCATTTCCATGCCCTACTGAGGGTTAGAAAAAATTAGGAGATTGATTAAAAGAAATCCAGGCCCTATTATTGGTATTCCTTCATGTGATTTTTCTTTCTTGAAATTGTAATTTTTTACTAATAATAAAATAAAATTAATAAATATAATTTTGAAATTTATGAACTCCTTTGACCAAAACTATAGGAGTAAGCCATGCACCCTCTTACTCAAATCCAACTTATTAACAAAAACATAATCTTCCAAACACCCTGCAAGACTCCATTATAAACTCAATTAGCTTTGGGTTGATGACAGAACTCAAAATATTCACAGAGCACCAAATCATCATATTAACATAACTTAGTTCAATCCTTTAACCTGATATTCTTCTTCCTTTTGGTTCCCCCCCCCCCTTTTTGGGAGGTAGTACAGCATAACTTAATGACTTTGGCAATAATTTTCCTGCAAAAGAATTTCGATAAAAGACCGACAATCCAGGGGCATTTTCTTTCCCTTGGATTCATGAGGCTTAAAACGATACGGCCAACAACAACACCAGTTCTCTTTTCAACAATATAAAAGAGTTAAGGGTTTGGCCTTTCCTCGGAAAATCTTGGAAGCTGAACAAGTGAGTTTACTCGTGTCACGCCTTCCAAGCCCAACCAATTCTGATCATCCACTCCGGTTTCCTCACTTCCATCAACCTCAACTGGTAGTCGTCCATAAGCATCATTTTCATCTGCTGATCTAACAGTGAAGTTCCTTTGCAAAGATGGCTCAGATTTCTGGCCATCATCCGATTCAACTACATTGCCAGAGTAATTACTATGCAGAGTTGCAGAAGAAAAGCCTTGTTCATCATAATCAGATTCAGAATCCATTTTGCCATCCAGAAATAAACAAACAACTGCACAATCATCCATCTTTGAAGTAGGGTATTTGAGTTTCCATTCCCTGGCAGCTGAGTCCACCAAAATCCTAGCAGCTGATGCCCGGGTTGGAGCTGAGGAGACAATCTCAACTACCTCTTCATTGCTTAATACATCCCAGACCTGAAACAACATAAAACCTGATTATGAGTATAAACTATCTTTCAATCTACTTTCACATTATAAAGGAACTTTATTTCCTAAAAGATGCATAGCCTATAGCACAAAAAGAATAACTGCTGATCAAACCATTAAAGAAGGCCAATATATTGCTCTCGGTAAATGTCATTTTGAGCAAAATCATTATTTTTCCCTTTAGCTTCCCAACCAATGATCAAAGAAAAGATTTTGACTCCTATGAAGAATAGTTAGGATACTATTCTTAGAATAGCTTAAGCAAAGATTTTGAGTCTTAGTGGTCTTCACCAATTATTTACAGCTGCCAAAGTCTGGATACTGACCTTTGCTTAAGCTCCAACTCTGGAATCACTTAGAACAACATGCAAATTACACCACAATATCATAATCAAGGAGCTTATGTTGACGAGAATGACACTAAAACTCTTCCTGGTAAAAGCCCATAGAACAGATTATTCTTTATACATCCTGAATAATCCGTCCTCCCCTTACCTTTAGTGGTAAAAGATTAAAGAAATTCATAAAACAATGTGGTTATACTTCCTTTCGTGTATGATAAACACGAGAGAGGAACATCCAAAAAATAAAACCAGTTCTAACTTCAAAGCAGATGCTTTGGTTATTTTGTTTCATCAGATAGTTCAAATATTCTCTCATGACTACAAGCAGTCTTCTCTTATTTCCCAGTTAGGTGTTAATCCCAACTCAAAAGTAACATTCCTCAATTGAATTCCTGATTTAGAAACAAAGACAACTGAAGATTGGAGAAGAAATTTACCCCATCTGAAGCAAGAACAATGAATTGATCTCTATCTGTGAGAACCCTGTGAGAAAATTCAGGTATTGAGATCACTCCATATTCTTTCAAGCAAAAATCACCAAAAGCTCGAGCCATTGCTAGTCCAGGGGCATCATCAAATGGCAACCAAACTCTTGGCACTTCAGGCTCATCTTGCAATGCAAAGACCCTACCTTTACATCGTTTAATCCTTTCAGCTTCTCCTACAACATTTAAATTTAGACCATTTAAGTTATGCTTGTTAAGATATACACTCAACCAAAACTCTTAAAAGTTCTTACTTGGCAAGTCTGGTTTTAGATCAATAGTCAACTGGATTGCCACCATGGAATCGTTGCTGTCCTTAGATCCCAGAATTGCCCGGGAATCCCCAATATATCCCATGAAAAGATTGGACCCCTGCACATCACACATTAAACATAATGGACAGCTTAGAAGAAAGCCTTCAAAAGATGGAAAAAGAAAAATTAAAGAAGAATAGATCCAGCGCTTCCTGCAATACCTGTTTAACTATGGTGATGGCAGTGCTACCACTGCAGAAGCAGTCCAAATTAGGATGGGACTTCAACTCTTTATCCATAGCCTTGTATGATTTCAAGAATGCGTCTCTCCACAAGGAATTCAATTTATCCTCAGCTGAGACATCTTTATCATAATCTCCGCCATCAGATTTCTTCGTATTTCGTTTGAAGCAAGTCCCACTTGAACCATCTTGCTTTGATTGATGAGAATGCAAGAACGATAGCAACTTAATAGGCAGGGAATCTCTTACTTTACGGGCAACAAGATGACCATGAGGTCCATGACCATCAAAGACACCACAAAATGTCATATCTTCCAACATGAAATCCTGGAAGATTAAGATCACGAGCAGCAGTTAGTACCCAAGCAAAAAAAAA